TCTATTGGGATGAAGGTTATAAATCTCTCTACAGGTAGACCAGCTTTACTGACGTAACGAAGAATGAATGTCAGTTGTTTGGTGTGGGTTGTGTCTGGGGTGGAATCGACACTAATGCTGTACTTTGCCTCTTTGACCTCTTCAAAGATGACTGATCTTACTTTGGCGGTCAACACTTCTAGAAACTCATCGAAAATAGTAGATGATAAATATGACGCGTGCCCACGTCCTTTGTTGCCACTCCGCGCAATATGATCTGCTAGAAATGGATCAAACGTAGCCATCAATTCTAAAAATCCAAGAAACTTACCGTTATGTGCAGATCCAAATAGTTGGCCATAACTACGTGGAGGGAGTCCTCTTTCGCACAAAAATTTAATTTCACAACAGACACCACTCTTCCCAAAACCTGACGCCAGTATTCAACCTCTATTTTCAATTGTGAGAAGAAAGAGTTGTCTAACACCCTACTTTGTTTTCCAAACACATAGAAGTCATTTACAGCTTTGCGATGAGTATCACCGTTTTCAGGCAAGGACAATCGCTCTATATAACGTTTTTCCAGTCGTTGAATCCTGAAGTGAAAGCAGTCTCACCGGTGGAGCTGAATAATTTACAACACTGACCAAATACTTTCCTCGTCGACTCTGAATAATCAATCCAGTCTTCTTACGTTTTCTCCGTTTTCAAACTGTCTATAAAAATGGGATCTTTGGAGATACCGATAATAATCTTTGTATTCACGCTTCGATGTCTTGAAATCCAAAGCATCTAAGTTTTGAACAGTGGCTTAGTTAATTACATTCAGTTTACAACAGCAATTCAAACAACAACAACAATTCAACAAGAGGACAATTTTTTTGTTGTTGAAAAAAAAATTTTAAACGTCGTGTTTGAAAGCGCGGGGCCCTAGGCTACAGCCTAAACAGCCTTAGGGGTAACGCGGCCCTGCTTGTGACTTAGTTTGACTTTTCTATTAGATCTACTTTTCCTTACTAAGATACTGCGTAATGAAATCGGTTTATTCTTTTTTAATCGCCATGTGCTATCTGTGGTTGTTAGTTGTTCTTGTTACTTCCCCTTGAAGATGGGCTACCGCTACCAGATGAGTTTTTGTTATTGTTATGTCCCTTTGAATACAGGTAATGCCAGGTGAGAATATTAATGCCAATTTGGAATTCAATAGCTGTGGTTTCAGTGCAAGGAGTTTAGAACTAATGGAGCCTCCTCTCTCTCTTCGCGGCGCCGCGAGCAGTACGCCGCGATGGGGATCAAATATGGCCACCGAGTGTGGGCTAAATCACGAACTGTGGCGTTTCTTTTTATAGAATTTTATCGGGCTGGGCCACGTTGTGGGGGTGGGCGGGGTGGGGGAATGTACGCAAGGAAGAGGGGATGGGGCTGGGATGAAAGAGGAGGGGCAGGCCTTGGGAAGGGACGAAGGAGAATGGGAAAAATTAAATAAGAGAGAGAGAGAGAGAGAGAGAGAGAGAGAGAGAGAGAGAGAGAGAGAGAGAGAGAGAGAGTGAGTGAGACAGACAGACAGACAGACAGACAGACAGACAGACAGACAGACAGACAGACAGACAGATAGACAGACAGACAGACAGACAGACAGACAGACAGAGAGAGAGAGAGATTGTGATCAACTGACGGGCTGACGGATAATGACAGGGAGAAAAAATTATTTGTGTGATACGGACTGTTCAATTCTTTAAGAGTTTTATGTTATAATCTAGTTTAAAAATCAAAAAGATGTGTAAAATAAGAAGAAAACTTGTCCGAGTAACATAAAATTATCAAACATACCAAATTAAAAAGATAATCTTTCAAGATGCTAAAATATTTAATTATGAGAAATGGATGAAAATATACTTTTAAACTGAATTCAAGATATATGATTGCATGATTCTAGGCGTGCGCCATAACTAACTTTATGTGTAAGGAATAGCGGACACAAAAGAGGGTCAATGTTTGCTTTATCCAATTGCTAACAGTATGTCTTGGTCTATAAATAATATTATAGATCACAATAATTTTGTTTCCTGGTTTTCACAAAGTGGAGCGCACAATGATTTCAAATATTCAAAACAAAACAAAAAGAGATAACAGCACCCTTGGAGGTGTGATCGCATGCATGAGCGTGGATAACCTTTGAAGGCTTTTTTTTTTTTCAGTAAAGTATGATATGGAGAGCAGCGTTTTTAGTCCCTAATTACACTCCAGAGGGGGATAATTTATCTTAGTGATGACTCTTGTGTAGTAAAATTTGTTGTTGCTTTGTTTGGTTTATTTTTTAACAGCAGAATCTTAAGTGAACCGGAATTATTGATTGTGGGATCTTAGGTGAAGACTACAACAATAGAATTAAACCGAGTATAGTTCTATCTAACAAGACTCAAACTCTTATCCATCCCACCCTACCTTCTCCCCTCATCTGATATGGTTTGGTGTTTCTTTAACATAGAAAATATTCATCATTATTGTTGTTGAATATTGATTTCATGTTCTAACGGAGCCTCTAGATATCTACATTTAGACTACAGTAGCATCTAATTTGCACACACAAAGGAAAGCAATATCTTTAATTAAAATGTATAATATGTATATATACATACACACACATAATAATTATATATATATATACTCATAATAATTATATATATATATATATATATTTATGAATACGAATACTTTTTAAAAATTGAGTATCTCAGTCTTTCTGCTGGGGTCTTGTATCCCTTCAGCCTGGGTTGGCCTTGGCATAAAGCGCCGGGGCCAGCCTCTTATGAATTAATGATTTAAATTGTGTTGCTGGGGGCATAGAAACACTTTCATTCAAATTTTTTTAAAGGGAAACAACTTAACTGTGAAAAATTCGGTCCATTGCAGCATCATATCGGTTCTTACACTTAAATACAACACATATGCAAGGCATTTTTACTAATTGACTTGCCTAATCTGAAGGACCTCGGAATAAAACCTTCTTTCTTATCTAGATTTCAGTGCCTTAGTCATAGTCGGGCAATCGCGCAGCGCAGGTAGCCCACGGTTCCGCCGCGAGAGAGGGCTCCTATCAGGCGTGCGGTGCCGCCCACAGGGCATCCTCCATTACTTTTAATCTCCTTGTTTCAGTGCGAAACAAGGCAACATAGAAAATGAGTTATTGTCTTTCATTTGCCAGAGTATATTCATCAAATAATTTTCTAGATCTAGATAAAAAACGGGATGTGGATTTTGAATTAGGTCTTTGTTTTGCCTCGTGATCACGGACTATAATAGTGGTACAACAGCCAAACAAAACTATTAAGCCTACATAATCTGTCGGACTGTCGGGTGTGGAAAATATAATATCCTGGTCTGCCTGGTCATAGTACCGTTCGTTCTGTGTCAACTGTCAACTAGTGATGGGCCGATACCACAATTTAGGTATCGATGTCGATACCTAGCAATGATAGTACATAACAAGATGGGCCACTTCTCTCTTTGAGCTAATTAAAAAAGTGTCCTCAAAATTTGGTGGCGCCCTCTTCACAAAAGCGCACTCTTTGCGAACAGAGTTACCCTACTTGAGTTTTTAAAAATCAAAGTGAAACTAGCAAGTTTTGGGATAAATTTCGGAAGAACGCTTTTTAAAAATGATTACACTGACAAAAAACCTCTTCCGGAGGAAAAGGAGATGGTTTTCTTCGTTTAATTTGACTTTAGAATGAAGGGCGAGAGGTCATTAAAATTTTAAAAACCTAAGACTCCGCACTGAACGTACCCGAACCGCTGATGAACAGCAGTCGATCTGCGCACGCAAGGAGGTGCTATTTCTATTCTTCTTCTGGAAAAACGAAAGAGAGCTTCAAAACAGACTGCAGCGCCATCTGAAGCAAAGAGCATACTTCCTGCGGACACTTTTTTGGCTGAGTGGCCCATCTTGTCTTGTACTATCTTTGTACCTAGTACTTTTTCAAGGTATCGATACCGATACCTCAATACCTAATGCTATAAGTAACATACGCCGTGTGTAATAAGTAAAGACAAAAATACAACTATACTTTTCCAAGTATTTAGGTAATCGTGTCTAGACAAGTTGTGACTATTTAGCTGAGACTCAAACAAAAATTATTTGTAAAAGAGAGAGAGAGAGAGAAATAAATACCCAAATATGAGGATAAAAACAAAAACTAAGTGAGGTATAGGAGGAAAGTCAACTTTGCAGGAAATGTTAGTATTGGAAAATAAAAACACAAGAGTTCTAAAAAGGCAATTCCATTTACCACATTTTTAGCAACTTTAAATTAAACCAAAGAGGATAAATCAGGGTTGTCAGTGAGGATTTTGCAAAATCACAATATAATAGATTTCATGAAAAACTTCTCTCTTTTTGTTAAAAAATCAGTAGATTCATTTAAAACGCTTTCCCCCTATGAAAACTTATCAGTTTTGATAAACAAAAAATTCTCAAGGCCCAAGTCACTTGCTTTGGCAGCCCTGAATAAATAACACATAGGTATCGATGTTTAGAGCAGGTATCGGTACCGATACCGATACCTATAGGTATCTAAGTATCGAAATATCTAGTATCGATACCTGCCCATCACTACTGTCAACCTCAGGCTCAGGTAGGTAGCCTTCCCGATTGTCAACAATCAAAAGCTTCGCCTTCTCAGGTTTTCGTTGTAAACGCCTACATGATCATGTTCTACAACCACGATGCCATTTGTACATTAGCTTATTGTGATTTTTTATGATATTCAGCAGATATAGAATCTAGATTCTAGGAGAGGAGAGAATCAGAGCTTAATTTTTAGTTTAGACACTTCGTTTATTTATGTTAGAATAAGATTAAAATTTAGAGTTCTTCCTGGTCCCATTTGTAGATCTAGACTCTAGATCTAGATCTATCTAAATCTAGAATAGATCTTGATTCTAGATTAGATCTATAAATTCCGAGCTTCTTTCTTTCACTTTCAGTGATCAACAGCACAGAAGATGAAGATTGGTAGATCTATTTGGTTGTCACTCGTAGCATTGGTGTTGGTGTCACAGATTCAAGAATGTGAGTATAAAACCAGTATTGTGCTGAAAAAATAATTCTTGACTGATCATGTCTCTAGATCTAGATCTTATCTAGATTTAGATCTATCTAATCTGAGAAATCTATTTACGAAGTGACTAGATTTCTCCGAACGCTCAGGAAAATAAGCTTGACCTCTATTTCTCCGAAGGTTTCCGTTCTCGAGATTTAAAAAAAATTTTTTGCAAAAGTTCTGTGTCATCTTTCTTTCTTTCTGCCGTTCTGCGAGACTGGAAAGAAATATTTTCTGCATCGAATTCAATTTCTAGAGCTAGATTAGGTGTGGATTGTAGAGCTTTTTAGATGTGAAGTCTGAATATTCGGATATTTTAACGAAGTGGCTAGCCGTATAGACTGCCAGTCTAGCCGTACTTAGATCTAGGTGTGGTCCTATCGACTCAAGCCTGTTAAGTACACAGGTCTCATTAGATCTAGATCTAGTAATTATTCAGGTTCAAATACATGCAAGTCAGTAAGGCACCTTTTTGTTTTGTCTGAAATACAAATACTTTAGGCATTGCAAACTAAAAATTTCATTTACAATTCAGCCATCATCAATATTAAGTACGGCTAGCCTGACTGTCTAGCCGTCCTTAAGTACGGCTAGCCTGGCTGTCTACCCGTACTTAAGTACGGCTAGACTGCCAGTCTAGCCGTACTTATCTTAGGCCCTATTAACATTAGAAAACAGGAGGTTTAAAATACATGCACTGTCATTAAGGCACCTGGTTTCGTCTCAAATACAAATACTTTAGGTACTGCACTCTAAAAATGTATATTTACAATTCAGTAGGCTTATTTTTTGTTAAATGGTCAGTCTAGCCATCATATTAAGAATAAGTAGGGCTAGACTGCCAGTCTAACCGTCATTAAGTACGGCTAGCCTCTTCCATATTTTAATTGTGGTTTGGGCAACTGTCCCAGACTATACTTCATTTGAAAATGCCCTCAAAAGGTAGATCTACTTCTAGAAAACAAGTCTGCTCGACCTTGGCAGTAACCTATTTTGCATTTAGTCACCCCTAAAAGAAAAAGAAAAGAAAAAATCCCCCCACGCCCTGTACAACCCCTGAGGTACAAAATGACCCCAGGCGTATGGGGTTACCCCTCAAAGCTGTGCATCAGTGTGCAGGAGTGAAAGTAAAAATTACCTAAATGGGACTCATATTTTATTTAGATTCTAGCTGGAATTAACTCTGCCTACAGCAACTTAACCTCAAAATTTGACCTGAATATTGGTCGATACATCATGCATAGTTTATACTTTCCCAAACTTTTAGTAACTTTGATTGTCAGTACTGGCACGTGTATAATATACTATAAGTAAGGGCTTTAAATTGTTATTACCACAACAACTAGTTGACAAAGATTGTCTCTACCGAGCATCAGTTTCAAATATATGGCATATGTGTTAGTTTCTGGCTTTACATTGTCCTACACGTCTGGAGATTATATATGCTCTCACTCTCCCATTTGTGGATCAACAAGGCTTGGAGGCATTTCCTTTTTTTTTTTTTATTGAATTGTGATTGTGGCCTACTTGTTTTGTGTCCCAACCAACACAATTTAGATTATTTAGTAGGTGGACTCCTGCGGCACTGCCTGCAATTAGGACCTGCCCAGGGTGAGAGGGATACACGTCCTCGGATCGCAGACCTGAAAAACAAAAATACTGAATAAAGAAAACCTGCCCATAGGTGAATCAAACTTGTGTCTTTTGCATTCGGCTGTGAAATGCTCAACCACTACACCACAGATGCCGGTTTGGATTTCCTTTTCCAAATATTAGATTAGATTGCTGATTGCATTTATATAGTGCTGTATCCCATACGAGTATAATTTAAGCTCTGAGCACCAGCCATGAAGTTCACATGCAGCCAAGCAGTAGTGATGATGGAATTGCTACCTCTTCTTTTGCTCTTTTTATGAAAGCTTAAAAGGAAAGGCCTTGGAGTTTACCGAACAGGAAGTGTCAGCAGACAGACAAGAATTTTCCTTCAATAAAAAGAGTTTGTAAACTTTATATATAGCCTAGCTATATATTTAGTTTTTATTTCTATAATGTTTCTCTACAGACTCCTTTTTTCGAAATCCACAGGTTTGAGCCCTCACCTTGTCCAGTATTCTGCTTGTTTTGATTTTATCAATATTCAAGTACCCCAAGTGTGTCACTCTCTTTGAAGGCAGTGTAGTACTTATTACTCATTTGAACTAAAGTCGGAGCAATTGGTATAGTGCTGAAATTAAAAGTGAAAAGTTTCCAAAATATATGTGCCACTACAAAAAATACATTGCAACCAAAACAAAGAGGTGCAAAGCTTTTTTGATTTCAAGGGCGCAGGAGTATGAAAGTTCTTTCCATAGACTATATTTGGACAAAATCCCTTGAATGGAGGCGAACTTACTTAGTTTTTCGAATAGTGATATCAAAGAAGGGACTGTCGAACCTGATCCTATGGCCACTGGTCCAAGCTTATCATCTGTACAAGCGACTACTTCCTATTTCCATCTTTTTATATTATGTGAGGCGAGCTGACAAAATGAGTTACTTCTTGCTATCGACAAATGGAGATATATTGATAAAAAAATCAACACCATGGTTTAATTTGTAGATTTTCTATTGATGCCATATTTTCAAAGTACAACATGCCTTTATTTATTTCATACTTTTAAACTGTAAAAAGGGGTAGGCCATGAGAGACATGGAGGAGATGTGTGGAAAGGGACATGAGAGAGATGAAGCTCACTTGGAACGAGCTAGGAAGGATGGCCCAGGATAGAGATAAATGGAAGGAGCTTGTATGTGGCCTATACTCTGCCAGGGGTGAAAGGCATTGATGATGATGAAATTGTAAAAACTTAATCTATACGTGTGATGTATCTATTTCCAGAGGGCTCAAATCCAAAAAGTAACTCATTTCGTCTGTACGTTTCACATATATTATATTTACACTGTCCAAGACGTCCACCTGTCTAAGAAGACCACTTTTCTCCTCAACAATGTGTGGTCATCTTGGTCAGTTTCAACTGTGTTTATTTGGTACTCATATATTGAGATACAAGCCAAAAGTAGTAAAATGCTGAGCACCATCTCCTGTACTAACAGAAGAAGCATCTGGGTTGGTGGTATCCGTTACTGGCAGACGCCACAGTCAAAATGTTATTCGCGTTAAATGCCAAATTGTAAATTAGCATTTGTAGGAGAATTACAGCCAGTCATCGACAAAATGGTAACTAAAAGGTTACTTAATGGACCAAGAAATACACTGTTATACCAGTGTCTGAAGTGTAGCAGTTAGGTGCTACGCTTTCGCACGCAGGAGACCTGTGTTCCATTCCTGAGTAAGGAGGATTTCTTTTGATTATCTTGGTCTTTCTACTAGGATAGTGTATGCCTACTATGAGTGGGGTTTGAAAATACAGAATGATAAAAAACCCTCTTGTGTAATGCATCACAGTCCAATGTAGCAAAATCATTTTTACTATTCTTATATTACGTATGGGCCCATGTATGTGATAGTCTGTATGTGACGCCACGTCTTCTTGTATGGAAAATTTGTCCATATCCTCATAATAGATAATGTCATGATATTGCTAGTTTCGTGAACGCATAAAGCATGAATTCAGAATTTCGCATGTTTCCTGTATGACACCATAATGTTTGATCATTTCTTTTGATTACAAAACTTCCTTTTTTTTTCATTTACTTTATCAGGTGTGAGTATTTGGTGTTACTCCTGCCATTCTTTCAGCGAACCAGCATGTGGAGATGAGTTCCGGTTGGGAAGTGGTAACCATCAAGCACGCTCTCAGTGTGATGGCCCCTCGTCATGTGTAAAACGACGAGGGAAGAGAAAATATTGTAAGTTTCATGCTTCAGCTTGTGATATAGCAGTTAAGCGCTTCACTGTTGCTTGCAGGAGACCTGAGTTCAATTCCTGAGTGAGGAGAGTTTTATCGACTCTGTCGTTTTCGCTGCTGGGATGTTGAATCCCTCTTAGGTTGGGTTGGCCGTGACAGGCAGGATTGAAGTTCACCTCTTGAATGGTCTAAATTGTGTCGCGTCGATGGGTGACTAAAAACACCTGCATTTTATAGATTAATTTTTTACATGCTCGTCTATTTTTGGAAAATGTTCCATATGTTGGAATGATACTGTACTGAATGTCACAAGCAGTCAGTGAACTAATGATCCCCCAGTATTGCAGAAAAGGTTAACAAAAAAAAACTATGATTTTTCTACGCACATTTCTGCTTGTAACCTATTTCATTCAGCATGTGCATTGCAATCACTGTAATGAGACACAGTAAAGGAAATTTGAACTAGTGAGATTGTCATTTACTGTTGCCTATACATATATGATACCAAAACATCTAATTCATGCTGACCTGTGCCTTTTCTAACACTATCAGAATGTTTCCATTTGGTACTGTTTATGAGATTTGTCTTGGTCTAGATTTTGCAATTTATATGAAAAAAAAAAGACTCAACTAATCCTTTAGCTGCACAAATTGTGGGGGTGATACTGACAGTACTAAATGTGTGGCATTGTGGTGAAATCAGGTGTTGGTCAAAATAATGGAATTTAGAAATCAGCATTTGTCCATTTGATGAACAAGTTTTATCAATTTTTGTTCTTTTGTTGCTTAACACCTTACATCCATTGAAAAACACATTTTTGTGTGAATTTTACTGAAAATGTTTAATCAAGGGCACAAAAAAATATAGATTTGCAGTTTCCATGAACTTTTGAAGTCACCAAAATTTGGTGGCCATTATCTTTTTAAATTTTACTTTTACTTCTAACACTGGGCAACCCTCACCTCCTACAATTGTTGCTTTCTTGAATTCTATCCTATAAATAAATTATTGATGGTCAAGATAGATAGGTATATTTTTTCATCAAAAGCGAAAGAAATGAACAAACTTGAATTAAGAAGATATTAATAACGCAATATGCCCAGAATTTGACGAGCACCTGACTGGACTGTTTCAACTTCTCTTGCCTATAAGTTACCAGTCTGGAAGCTCTTCCTGTATATGGGAAGTTGGCAGGCGCTCCAGTGTGGTTTACTTTTTCTATCTTATCAGATGTTTATCGTTATCTCTCCCCCTTCATTTCTTTGTATGTTACTCTCTACTAGTAACAGCTCTAATCTTTGGCCCTTTAATTTGCTGTAAAACTCTTACTAAAACTTTTTAAAGACGAACTCTTTCTATCTTTTTTGTTCAGTAAAAGGAAGCACTTCGACACAACAACAATTACAGCCATTTTAGAACCATGAAAAAATAAAACAAACTGAAAATCAGAAGGAAAGATAAGAAATAGGACCCACCCATAGCATTCACCCTCCACCCGCCTTTCCTTGTTATATTTGAGGTTTTGTCCTAATTTCTCTAACTAGACGTGTTACTTTTTTTCTCTTTTTTTTTTCCAAATAGGTTGCGAATGGAATCTTCTGTGGTCATGCGGACTTAACCCTATCCGTACGCCTGGGGTCATTTTGTACCCCAGGGGTTGTATTCTTCACATTTTAGAATACTTGTAGTTCGAAGATCTCTTTGAAACTTTCAGTATTTCTCAAAATATATCATTTTGACAGACTGCTATGCAAAGCGTAGGAATCGGATTAAAGAGTAAATTTCCCCTTTGAAAAGTGGGGTCATAGATTTCCCCACCTTGTATGGATACGATAGTAAAAAACAACGTACGATAGGGTTAAGTATTTTAAATAGCTTTCAGTGTCTGGATTCATCTTCAATGCTGTATTTTGTTTTTTCCCCAACAGCTGAAGGAGTAAGCAAAGTTGAAGTAGAAAGGACTTGCATTCCCCGTCGCCCAGAGGGATGTTACACAGAAAGTAAATATGGTATAGAACAATATTCATGCTCCTGCAACTCAAATTTCTGCAATTCTTCTCCGAGAATCATCTCAAAGAGTACAAATACAATTTTGTTGTCTGTCGTTTTTACATCGCTTTTATACCTTGGACAGAAACATTTGTTTTCATGGCATTAAGACTGAAGAATTGTCAATGTCATTCCAGTATCATAGTGGCCAACTCTTACGAAAAAAAGTTATTTGATATGTTTTTGAGTGTTTGAAGTTTGAGTATGGACGTCTGTTTTTGTATACAAAAATATTTATTCTCCATTTTTTTGTATTGCTTCTCATGGACTTTCCAATACTGAAGAAAAATTATGAACTTTCAAGACCTGATTTATGAATAGGCCTAATAATGAGAACAAAGCCCAGAAGCAGTTTGCAGCTGTGTCCCTTATCATAGTTCGCTATTGAGCATAAATTTATTGAATGCAGAAAAGTGTGTGAAGGGTTTTGAGTGGGGATACTTGGCTAATGGCGACCGTCTTAACCAGCCACATGGGTAGAGCTTTTTTTTCCTTCCAAGTGGGAAGCTATGCAGTGAAGTTAGACCTGAGGTGTCTCGAAAACAGTACACTCACAAGGTAAAGGCCTACTTCAGCCCTCCATGCGGAACTTGCATGACCTTTTGTGCAAATCCAGGTTTCCACTCTCTGTGGAGCGAACATGGTGGTAGCCGTGACATCAAGCCCTAAAGATGATTTTAACTTATTTTACGATTGGGGAGGGATGTGGTCTAGATTTATTTTAACTGGTTTTTCTTGTGCTTTTAAGATTTGATCAATTTGAGTCCTCCATTTGCCCCTAATAAAATAATGGGATTGTTTGACACCATTACTTTTGGGATAAATTTTGCTGTACTGCACAATGAGCAAGGATATTGTGGGCATAGCTGTGACCCTGACTTTAATGTTTTGGTGACACGACTGTCGTGCTATATCTGTGATCATTGTTACGCAAGACTTAGGCTTGTCGCTATTATACTGAGAACTCTTTGTACCGCTGCTGATCAACAAGTGCCTTATAGTCTCTTAAATTTTGCTTCCTTCCTCCTGGGAAGTACTTTGGTCACTGACATAACAGCGCAAGTAGAAATCTAATCTAAAGCGCATGTTTCTTTATCTACTTAACATTACGCATCCATGTAATATTTGATGATTTCAAAGTTGTCTTGCTTTTTATGGGCAGTTGTCGCATCCACTTGTAAGATTATGTAGTACAAACATATATCAAAATGTGAGGCATCATGGTGAAATCATTCGCGTGTCAAAACAATTAAATCGAAGAAATCATTATCCTCCACCTGTTCAGCAATTTCTATCATTTTTTTGTTTCGGGCTCTGCTCCTTTTATGTTCACTTTAAAACACGTTCCTGTAAGGATTTTACTGAAAAACATTGATATAACGTACAGAAATGTACATTTGTATTTGTAGTTTCCAAGGTCACTAAAACTTTGGGACTTTGGCGGACACTTTCTTGCTGATTTTACCTCTGACACCTGACGACCCCCTCCTCCTTCAGTCCCAAATATCTCGACTTCTATTCAAGATAGATGGGTACATTTTTCCACCAAAAGCAATCAAATGAACAGGCTAACTATAATTATATACAAAAAAACGGATATGCCCAAAAACTGACGAGCCCCTGATTCTACCACGCTGTGACACAAATTGTTTTGTCTTTTTCTGCACCAGGCGTTTTGTTTTATGAAAAATTTTAGGGAGTGCTTATTTGGGCCACATATGGCCTAAATAAGGTAAGGGAGGGGGGTTTAGCTTATTTAGGCCACAGGTGGCCTAAATAAGGTAAGGGAGGGGGGTTTAGCTTATTTAGGCCACACATGCTCAAACTACCAGGGGACACCCTTTTAAGGCAAC